GGTAACCATGAGATCTGCGGTTAGAGAGGGCTACAACACCCGTTCCAAAGGTGGCCCAACTTTCCCCACCAAGCTTGCGGTTGGTTGGGCAGGTTTCCCGAGCCCGCCGTAGAAGGGAAGCCTACACATCCGACGTAGCTTCTGCGAACCGTGCCAGTGTAAACTGTGAGTCTGCCGCTTTACAGGGCTCTGAACACCGCCGCATACTTCTCACCCGCGTTCACCAACAGACCCACGGGTAGACCCGCCGTGGTCGGTGAGAGGCCAAATGCCATACTGACGCTGCTATATCCGACGTATCCTCTCGGAGCATGTGCCAGCGTCAACCGTAGGCCTGCGAATCGGTTTCCAAAACACGCCGCAGGTTTCTCACCCACATTCGCCTGAGGATCGTGGGCAGACAGCGCTCCACAACCCGCTATGTTCGGCGGACGGCACAGGAACCGCACGCACACTTTCTGTTACAATCGCGACGTCGCCACAACTATTGCCCTTTTCAGTTTCTCCGCCACTGCTCAGCTAATTGCCCAAGGGAAGGTTGGGGACAGGGGCAGGATTCCGGGAGAGGGAGCTGCTGTCAGGCCGCCACGGCACGGGCCGCAAATGCGGATGTGGACCAAGAGGGGGCCAACACAGGCATCCGTTGGAAGCCCGGGGTGGCCCCCGCATCCCCCTCGGGGGGCACGTGCCATGCTCGGGCCCTAGCAACAGTGCGCACAACCTGTTTCCATAATTAGTTATCATGGCCCCCATTTCCTCTTTCCACTAACGTCCAACGCCGCTGCGCGCCCCTCCCTCTCCGCCTGCGTACAATTTTCTGCCCCGCACAGTCTCCACGAGGGCGCCACATCTGCCTTCCCTCGCAGCCTTCGTGCCAGCAGCACACCGCGCGGCCGCGGTCAGACAGGCCTCCGTAACCCGCACTTGTTTCCCAACCTACGAGTCACATCCGACGTGCCACATCTGATCCATGTTATGTGTTATAGTATCTACGAGGTCAGGCGTCTTTGCCCTACCTACCCGCCTTTTCTGCACGGTTGCCCTAGCGACGGCTAGTGCACCACACGCTGCCAGGTGCGAAGACCGCCCGCGGGGGACATCCACATTCCTGTCCTTTTTTGCAAACCACTTGTTTGATCAATTCCCCCAGGAACAACGGCCCCTGGGGGGGCGGGGGAGATGATGCGTTCAGACGAGCACAGCAGACAATAGCTACAGCTTCGGGAGGAAGAGGTTGAGAAGGACGCTGTGTCCCATCGGCGAGGGGGCATCGGCCGCCTGTCCAGGGGCTCCAGGACAGCTACAGCTTCTTATTCCCAACCCTCCTGTGCTGGCATCTCTTTTTGAATCGAGCAATGTGGTCGAGTCTCCTCATTCCTCCTGCCCCCCCTCCTGCCTCCTGCCTCCTACTTCCTGCCTCCTGTCGCGAGCATGGTTCTCGTGCCCTTGCTCTTCGGTACGTGCTATCGCTACCGCTCACTGTCGTGGGCTCCTGGGAGGTCGCGCGGAGTGGAGTGGTACGGGGATCCAGTTGAGACCTCGCGGCTCCGTGGGAGGCTGCGAAGTGTTAGTCCGTCGCCACTTTAGCGGGCTCTTGGGTGGTCCAGCGGCGTAGGGTTGTACGGGGATCCAACTGAGACCTCGCGGCTCCCTGGCGGGCTGCGAAGTGTGAAAGTGTAGCATGTCTCGTGGGCTCCTTGGAGGTCCAGCGGCGTGGAGTTGTACTGGGATCCAGTTGAGACCTCGCGGCTCCCTGGGGGGCTGCGAAGTGTGAACTTGTAGTTTTATTTCGTGGGCTCCTTGGAGGTCCAGCGGCGTGGAGTTGTACGGGTATCCAGCCCGGCGCATGGCGCTGTCTTCTTTCGTTCACGTGGCATCTTATCCTCAGCTGCCTTTGGCCCGCCATGCTACCTCACGTGCTTGCGTCGCCCATCGCGATGCGCTGTTGCGCTATAGAGCGCACGGGGCGGTTGTGTCCCGCGTAGGTAGCGCTCGGTGCGACTGCTGTTACTGAGCATGTATGCCCCCCTTCACCCTCCTCCGTATGCCTCTGTCTCCGTCCCTAGCTTGCCATTCTTGCATGTTTTGTGTACGTCTGGAAACTCATGCGCATTGCGGGTCCTCCAGCATGCCTGTTGGTATTCCGCGGTCCATATATATATATACATATGTATATATGTGTGTGTACATGTGTAGATCTATATCTCTCTCTATGTGTGTCTCTCTCTCTCTCTCTCTGTATTTGTAGTCATACATATCATACGACATTCCTATAGTATGTTCTTCCCCTCTCCCGCGCTCTGGTTGTTTTTTTTCTCGTGGGCCTGATCATTCCCTCGTTTTTTCGATTGCGTTTCAGTAGTCAATGCGCTCCGCCGTCGGCCGCGTACTGGGGCCTCACGCTTGCCGGGCTTGTGCCGACACGACTTCAGGGAGTTGTCGTATCGCTTTTAGTGTAGTCGTTTTCGTTATTCCTCTTTCTCCTTCCCTTCCTCCTGGATCCGTTTCCTTTCGCATCCCGCGGTGGGTTTATTCATATGGCCACTTTGGCCGTAGGGGATATAATTCTGCAGTTCTGTTTGTTTTCGCAACTCCCAGATGCGCGCTAAGGGTCGCCTCTGGCAGGTTGGCTTGAGCGCTGCTACATGCGTTTGGTCTGTCACCTCCGCCTTTCCCTTCCTCTTCATCCTCGTCCTCCTCGTCAGCTTTCGTTCGCATTTGCGGGGTGGATTTTGTGACATGTCCGTTGCGTGCTGACGCGTCGAGGACATGTCATTTGAGACGTGTTTGTTTCCCCTGAGCTCGCGCCGCGAACATTTTACGGAAGACCGGTTTGGCACCGCCTCTGTGTGTGAGAGGAAAACCGTTCATATATACACATATATATGTGTTCACCAAATGTTTAGAAAAGGTTGGGTCGTATTCGTCGTCCACTGGGTAGAGATTAGTATTCGCAGTCGTCGCCCACGTTTTTGTTAATTATCTTAACCATCTTTGTAGTATTTCGATTCGTTCTGTTGCGGCTACGGCTATTAGACTACGGATACCACTGTTACCGCTACTGCGGCCACTGCCACCACGACTGCGACTACGACCACGGCGAAATTTAGTAGTACTACCACTCCTACTGCTATTATTTCTACGACTACTACTACTACTACTACTACTACTACTACTACTACTACTACTACTACTACTACTACTACTACTACTACGACTTACTACTACTACTACTACTACTACTACTACTACTACTACTACTACTACTCTACTCTACTACTACTACTACTACTACTACTACTACTACTACTACTACTACTACTACTACTACTACTACTACTACTACTACTACTACTACTACTACTACTACTACTACTACTACTACAACTACTACTACTACTACTACTACTACTACTAACTACTACTCTACTACTACTACTTCTACTTCTACTTCTAACGTCTACTACTACGTCTACTACTACTACTTCTTTCTACTACTACTACTACTACTACTACGACTACTACTACGACTACTACGACTACTACGACTACTACGACTACTACTACTACTACTACTACTACTACTACTACCACTACTACTACCACTACTTCTACCACTACCACTCTGACTTATACTTTGTCTACTATTACTACTACGACGACGACTACTACTATTACTACCACCCTGCGGGTGATAAAGGGGGTTGGGGGGGTGGAGGGGCTGAGCAATCGGCAACAGTGGTGATTGTTCTCCTGACGATGCCAGTGGAGTTTTTTTTTCTCGGAGGCCTGCTGAGGCTCCTCTCGCTCCCTTTGTCGGGTTGCACATGGTGCAACTGCAATTGATGAGAACCGCTGCGACAGCGACGGCGGCGGCGCCCTGTCGGCGTATCCCTTTTTATGTAGACGGACCAACTCCAGGGGCCCAGACGCACCAGTTTTTCGATTCGCTTCCAGCCGCGGCGGCGAGCAGGGCCTCCGAGGGCCAGAAAACCATCGCCTAACCTCGGAGCCGACCTCAAAACGGGACCGGGGCCCCTCCCAGGGGCCCGCGCCGGCGTCCTGTCGGCGTATCCCTTTTTATGTAGACAGACCAACTCCAGGGGTCCAGACGCACCAGTTTTTCGATTCGCTTCCAGCCGCGGCGGCGAGCAGGTCCTCCGAGGGCCAGGAAACCTCGACGTAACCTCGGCGCCAATCTCAAAACGGACCCGAGGCCTCTCCCAGGGGCCCGCGCTGGCGTCCTGTCGGCGTATCCCTTTGTATGTACACAGATCGACTCCAGGGGTCCAGACGCACCAACTCAGACGCACCAATTTTTCGATTCGCTTCCAGCCGCGGCGGCGAGCAGGTCCTCCGAGGGCCAGGAAACCTCGACCTAACCTCGGCGCCAACCTCAAAACGGGACCGGGACCTCTCCCAGGGGCCCGCGCCGGCGTCCTGTCGGCGTATCCCTTTTTATGTAGACGGCCCACCTCCAGGGGCCGAGACGCACCAGTTTTTCGATTCGCTTCCAGCCGCGGCAGCGAGCAGGGCCTCCGAGGGCCAGGAAACCTCGACCTAATCTCGGCGCCAACCTTAAAACGGGACCGGGACCCCTCCCAGGAGCCCGCGCCGGCGTCCTGTCGGCGTATATTTCTTTATGTAGACGGCCCAACTCCACGGGCCCAGACGCACCAGTTTTTCGATTCGCTTCCAGCCGCGGCGGCGAGCAGGGCCTCCGAGGTCCAGGAAACCTCTGCCTAACCCCGGCGCCAACCTCAAAACGGAACCGGGGCCACTCCCGGAGTCCCGCGCCGGCGTCCTGTCGGCGTATTCTTTTTTATGTAGACAGACCAACTCCAGGGGTCGCTGGCGAAGCCTACGCGCAGCCTGCGCACAGCCTGGCAAGCGCAGGCAAAGCCCGGCGCAGTCTACGCGAAATCAAAAACTATATCCTTCATGATGCAGGAGCCTGCAAGCGCTGGCAAAGCCTGGCGCAGCCAGTGCCCCCCTTCCATTCACGTCTTGCTCGGCGGCGTGGCCTTGTACGCACTGGATGCGATCCAAATGGCCTCGCTCTCCTCCGCGTTGTAAGTGTGCCATGTCGGCGTGGCCGTGGATATCGCGGGGTTCGCCTGGGTCACCACGTGGCGCTGCACTCGCTCGACGCCCCACCCCCACTTCTCTGGGGGCGCGTGCGCGAACACGCGATGGGGCGTCATCGCGCGAAGCGGCGCGGGCTCGCCATCCGGCCCGAACACCGCGGGGTACAAGTACAGGGCGTGAAGGGCAACACTGGGAAAGCCCGGCGTCTCATCGGCGCCCTGTTTCCTCTCAGCACACTCCTTGCACGTGTAGCGGGCCCGGCCCGCGGTGTCCCGCAAAAGCCTTGACATCGACGCGACGTTCGCGCGCGCTGCTCCGGCGCTGGCGTCGACGATCTGCGTGCACTTATACAGGGGGCGCGCGATGACACCCGCCAGCTGGTAGTCGACGCTGACCGCTTGGTCGTTGAGATCGCTTCCCAGAGCGGTGCCGAAAAGCATGTCGAGGAAGCTGGCGTCCCAGTAGAGGAAAGACGGTCTGGTGAACTTGGACAACAAGCCATCCCCTGGCAATGCCTGGGGGAACGCGTGATCCAGCCACGGCGGGCGCATGTCCCGAAGCAACACCAGCGTCGCGCACTTGCAGCCTCGTCCAGTAACTCTTGCTTGGTCTTGGAGCTGACGTTCGCTGTGGCCAAGCCCACCGCCTCTATGTAGTCCTCCACGAGCACCTCGCGGTTGGTCGCCGGGCACGAGTAATCTGCGCGGATGCCTGGCGCCTGGAGGTCGGACCCTGTGAAACCGAAAGCAGCTGCCGACCCGGCTGGCCGAGATGCGCTGGCAAAGCCTGGCGCGCTGCTCGCCTTGGTGGAACTGTTCTTGTCCCTCTTCAACGCGACCAGCCGGAGCGTCCTGTAGAAGGCGCAGATGGCCTTGGCCGTGTGCGTCCGGCCCAAGTCCCAGAAGAGCTCCCCCAGCGTCGTGATGGGGCTCTGCCGACACCACTCGCGCGTCTCGACCGCCTCGCACGGAACGCATACCCTGCTCCACTGGCGGGCCCAGGCGGGCATGTAGACCTGTGGGTTGATGTCCTCGCCCTCGTTCACGGCGGCGGCTTCGCGCTGGGCCTGTGCGTCGACGGCTTTGGCGAAGAGCTCGGACCCGCGCCGGCCGTGCTAGCACCGCCCCTCCAGGCGTCGTCCCACGGTGTAACCACCTTGCACGCACCAGAATTGTGGATGGTCGAACTGCGCGGCACTGGCAATGCCTGGTGCGACCTTACGAAGGCACCGCTGCGTTCTGCACCCGTCCCGCTCCACCACCTCGCCAGAGTTGTGATTGACCAAACCCACCAGCGCGTTCGATGGTCCGTCGTCGTCCCCCAGCTGGTTCGGCGAAAACTTCTGCGCTGCCTTATCCGGGAGCTCCTTGAACAACGTCTGGTAATGCTCCCGCAGCGCGAGCATGCGCAAGCGGCCCCCCCGTGCCTGCGTTTTTGGAGGTGGCCGCGACAGATCCTTGACGCAGAGAGACCTCTTAGACGCCGCATTCAAAAACTCGTTCGGAGTCATGGACACCGCGCCGGCACTGACCAGCTTGACGCACACCAGTTCGCGGCCCAAGAACATGTCCCGCGTGTCCAGGCCGCGTGCGCATGTCCTCCGACGCTCCTCGTGCTTTTCCCAGGCCTCGCGGCGCATCCTGTCGATGTTGTCCTGCACCTCGGGATCGTCGGGCTCATCGATGACTCGGTGCCGCACGTGCTCCACACCGCGACACTTCATAGCACGAACATCGTGCAGGGCGGCGTTGCTGGCCATCGGCTGACCCTGCACAAGCTTCAAAACATCCGGGATGGGAAGAACTTCGGCGCCGAGTGCAGCGCGGAGCTCCCTGGACTCACGGGCGGCGGCCGGGCCCCCCTCGGGCTTCTCGGCCAGCTCCTCGCGCAGGTCAGCCGTGATGTCGAACTGGTGCACGTCCGCCGCGCCCTCTGTCCAATCGGCTTCGGGGTCGAACCCTGGCGGCGTCTTCTCCGCATCCGCCTTGTCCTCGTTCTTCTGCCCGCGGGTCGCCGGGCTGGCAAAGACTGGCCCCGACCCCTGGGCTTCGCCTGCCACCGCTTGCTTCCCGCCCGCCGGCCTCTTTGCCGCCTCCAACTCGGCCCGCGTGCGCGCGCGCATCCTCCGCGATCTCCACGAAGCGGTTGAACCCACAGGGTCTTAGGATCAGACCCCGCTGATCTCATTTTGCTAACCTGATCCCCGCGCGTGGGATCTGATCCCCGCTCGTTGGATCTGACCCCAAGGCGTAGGATCTGATCCTACCGTTTGGAATAACATCTTACATTCCTTACTTGCACGAATGTTACCATTTACTTTATGTTCGCGCATTGTTTTTTTTGCGCGCGCGTTACTGCGTCTTCTGAAAAAATGAGGGGGGCGGAAGGATGGAGGAGGAGAAGGAGGAAGCCGTGACATTGATCAGGAGGAGGAGGAGGAGGAGGCAAGAGGAGGAAAAGGAGAACGAGGATGATGAGGACATGAGAAGGACAATGGTAAACAATCGCGCGCGTGGGTGAGGGGGAGACGAGAAGGATGAGAGCAACAGAAGCAGGCGATATAGGATATAGGAGGGCCGTGCACTTGCCTCGTCGACGCATGTCCTGGATGACATGCAACCCTTCTCGTTACCATTGCTGGATTCGCTTCGAAATCTGATCAGCGCTCCCAGGGCTCGGGCCCGCCGCGGCGTCGACGGCGACAGCGCTGGCGTTCAAGGTTGACAGGTTGGAAGCCTATGCTAGAGGACCCACGCGGTGCCTTGAGGAAGTGCCCGGTCCAGGTCATGGCCCTCCTCGTCCTTGCATGCGTTCTGCTCCTCCTTTTCTTCTTCCTTCCCTTCCTCCTCTTCCTCCTCCTCCTCCTCAACCTCCCCCCCCCCCGTTCCTCCACCCGTCGACGTGGCTCGACGGCGCTGCGCGAACCCCCTCTCGCGCAGGGCGCGAGGCAACGCGCGCGGGGCGCGCGCGCGATGGAGACAGCCGCAGAGTGGCTGGTTGCCATCGCGCCGACGCGCCCCGAGGGCGCGGGGGCCGTCGCGGGGACTTGGGAGCGGGAGTATGGGATGGAGGCGCGAACGAGGAGGGGCGAAGAGAATACGAACGAGGAGGAGAGGAGGATCAGGAGGAAGATGAGGAGAACGATAGGAAGGATGAGAAGGAAGATGAGGAGGAGCAGGAGAAGGAGAAGGAGGAAGAGGAGGAGGAGGACGACGACGACGACGGGGGGGAGGAGCACGATAGGGAGGAGGAGGAGGAGGTGGGGGGACAAGACGACGATGTTACAAATGCCCCCCATACCCTTGCACCTTGCACATTTATATCCTCGAGTCCTCTACTCACCTCCATCGCCATTCGCTCTCCTGCTCATCAATCCCCAGTCCCCTGCACACATTGATCACACACACTCATTCGGCGTCCCCTCCACTCCCTCGCTGTCATGCCTCCTCATTCCCTTGGCGCCATGCCTTCTCATCCTCGTCGCTCTCATCATCGTCGCCTCGCAGCCCCTGCCTCAACTCCTGATGCCACTGTCATCTCTTACGTTCGGCCTCTGCCTCTCCTAATCACGACCCTTCCTCCTTCCGACCGCAACTCTTCTCCTCTCAAATCACGCCCCCCCACTTTCATCGTCGGCATCATCGCCGATCTCATCCGTAGCCAATTGGGCTCGGCATTTTGGCCTCGGTCGGGCGTCAATGGCGCCCAAGGGGAAGCGCCGTTCGAAGGCCACTTCGCCGGGTGCATCCTCTCGCGCGGCGCCATCCCCGTCGCCGACTCCGCCGCCAGATCGGCAGCCCGACGTGAAGCAGCTGGCGGCCATCCTGGACGAGTGGATCACAGAGTCCAGCTCGCTGTCCTACAGGACAGAGCTCTCTGGCCGCCTGGAGAAGGGTGCCTTGCTCAGGCACCAGCTGCACATCAAGAAGATCCGCGCCATGGGGGCGACGGACAAGTCGGTGATCATGGCAGCGGTTGCCGACTTGGCGCGGTCGAGAGAGAGGCGCCGGCACCTGGTTCACGAGCAGAAGCGGTGGATCGAGGACGCGACGAAGATGATCAGGGCCATGGTGCGCGACGTAGACCAGAGCATCTTGAAGCACAAGGCCAGGGAGAAGAAGAGTGGCGAGGACAAGCGTGGCACGTGGCTGGAGACGCTCATGCGAGGCACCGCGGACGGCTACGACGACGACGGCGGCGAGGCGGGAGAGCAGGCCGAGGGAGAGGACGACGCCAATTTCGAGCACGACAGCTGCGTTGACCCCGACGACGAGCAGCCGCCGATGCCGACGCCGACGCCGAAGGAGACGAACATCAAGAAGAGGCCGTCGGCGAACGCGTTCATGTACGGATGGGGCGCGGACCGACATGCTTGATTGCCAGACACCTTCACCCGCGTATGAGTTCGCGTATGAGTTCGCGTGTGAGTTCGTATGAGTTTGGTTGTGTGTTTGTAGTCGATTGCGTATTAGTTCGCGTATGAGTTCGTATGAGTTCACCCGCCTTATCCAGATCTTCTTCCTCCCACTCCTCCTCCTCCTCCTCCTCCCCCTCCCCGCCCCCCTTCCGCGACCTCCCCCGCCTGGCCTCCCCTGGCCCATCGCCCCCATGCACCGCAGAAGAATGTGGGGGGGTGGAGGAGGAGGACGAGGATGAGAACTATCAGTTCGAGGAGGAGGATCGAGGGGGAACACCAGTAGGGGTGAGTGCATCTGGCAATCGTGAGACGGCCTGGCGCAAGAACGCCAACGACGAGGATGCCATCCAGCAGCTCGCGACGAAGATCGAGATCAAGGACAACGCAGTCGCGGCGCAGTGGCTGGGCTCAGCAGGCAGGGGAAGTTGTCGACATGTGGGAGGTCGCTGGAATGACGGCGAACATGTTCGAGGCGATCGGCAAGACCGACAGACACGTGCTTGAGAAGTACTGGTCCAAAGAGGTCGGCGAAAAAGAGTTCTACGTGAAGCACTGCCGCAGGAAGGACAAGCAGGGCATCATGTTGTGGGAGAAGTCTGGCATTCTGAAGCACCAGCTGTGCCAGCTCGTGCCCACTCCAACCTTGAACATCGAGAAGGCGAAGAAGTACATGATCGGGCTGGGCAAGAAGTACGCTGCTGGCGAGATATCGAGGGATGAGCTGGGCGCGGACAAAGATGCGTTTCTCGAGCGGCAGGGCGAACCTTCTTCGCAGAAGCGCAAGACCAGCTTCGCGGCGAAGAAGCCAGCAGCGGCCGACAAGCGCGGCAAGGGCGACGCGGGCGAGAACGAGGGCAGCGAGGTCGTCGCCAAGAGCACGAAGATCACGCTTCCGCCAGCCGGCGAGGAGACGGCGACGCCGATGAAGAAGCCAGCGACATCGGTGGCGAAGAAGCCCGCGGCGACGCCCGCCGCCCAGGAGGCCGCAGCGGAGGCCGCGGCGATGCCAGCCGCCCAGGAGGCCGAGGCCGCAGCTGAGGCCGCGGCAGATGTGACGGCTGCAGCTGCAGCGGCTGCAGCCGTTGCGACGGAGCAGGCGAGCGCGCCGTTGCCGCCGCCACCGCCTCCGTCGTCGTTCGCAAGCGATTTGTGAACATAGCAGTGCCATCCATGTCATCTCTTGTGGTTCATCGGTCCTTCCTCGATGCCCGATGGATTCTCCGTCCTCCATGTCTCGCCATTTCCTCTATCATTCCTCGATGCAACCTCCCCCATCGAACTATTTTTCTCAATGGCTCCTCCGCGGCGAGCTCTGTCCCGCCCCCTCTTCTTCCTCCTCATCCTTCTCATATGATCACTCCCTTGCACCAGCCTTCCTACTCTTGCTCCTCCTCCGACTCCTCCTTGAACTTATCCTCGTCTTCCTGTCAGCACCTCGCCCGTTTCTTCGGCTTTGTTCTCTGCCTCATGCTGCCTTCCAATTCTTGTCCTCCTCCATCTCGTTGCCCTCCATCGTTGCCCCCCTCCATATGTTGGAGGAGGTCAGGGAGGATGAATAGCAGGATGCGAGAGGGGGTGGGAGGGGAACGCGTGAAAGAGCGGGGGGCGGGGCGTGGCAGGACGTGGGCACGAGGTAAACTAGTAGAAGAGATATTCGGGAAGGTGACAGGGCTCGCGGAGAAGGCAGGAGAGGAACGTAACATAATGACAGGACTGGCCAAAGGATTGGGGCAAGGCGTGCCAGGGAAGGGGCAAGAGGTGCGAGGAAGACGAACAGCGGCTCGTGGCATCGCCGTGTCGTCGCCGTCGCCATGTCGTCGCCGTCGCGCCCCCCCGCTGCTCGCAGGCTGTTGGCCTGCAGCCGTCGCCCGAGAACAAGGCAGACGGGCGGCGCAAGGTGCTCGCAGACGGCCAGAACAAGAGGCGGCGGCAGCAGCAGGCGCACGAGGAGGAGACGCTGGAGGACAGCCATCAGGCGGAGGAGACGCTGGAGGACAGCCATCAGGCGGGCAAATATATACCACCTCCTCCTCTTCTTCCTCCTCCTCCTCCTCCTCCCTCTCCCTCTTCCTCCTCATCCTCCTCCTCATTCTCCCCCTCCTCCCCCTCCTCCCCCTCCTCCCCCCCCCTCGTCTCCTCGCGCCGACGCGATCCGAATCGATCCGATCCAAATCGTTCTTGCTCGATCTGATCCGACTTGATCTGGTGCCCCCGCCCCCTCATCCTCCGCCTCCTCATCTTCCTCCTCCCCCGCCGCCTCCTGTTCCTCCGCCCCCTTCCCTCCCCCCCCCCCCCTCGTGATATCCCCCGCTGGTCGATGGCGACCCCAGATCGGACCAGATGGAATCGGATCGGGTCGGGCCCGATAGGAAAGGAGAAGGAGAGGGGGGGGAGGAGGCCCGGGAGGAGGAGGAGAAGGAGGGGCGAGGAGCTAGGAGCTAGGAGCATGGAGTAGGAGGAGGAGGAGGAGGAGGAAACGGAGGAGGATGAGGAGGAGGAGGAGGACTGCGGAATCATGTGCATTGGGGAACACCCATCAAGGGAGCGCCGACGCCGACCTCCATTGCGACGCCCTCGTTCGCGGGGCGACAGGCGGCGTCGGACGGCAAGACGGAAGAGAAGGAGCCCTCCTTCCCACCTCCTCCTTATCATCCCCCACCACTTCTCCTACTTCTCATCCTCCTCATTCGGCCTCGCCATTGCTC